CCGCCCCCGCCCCCCACCGGGCCACTGCGCTCCCCTCGCTCAGTCTGGCGGGCCCCATGTTACTGAGCGGAGCTCCTCCGGCTGGCTCCCGCCCCGGGCCGCGGGCGCAGGGGAGTGCCGGGGGCGGCCCGGGGGGGTCTCGCCGGGGCACCGGGGGTGCGGGAGCCGGCCCAGGAGGAGGCGGCAGCGGTGGAGTAGCCAAGTGGCTTCGGGAGCACCTGGGCTTCCGCGGTGGGGGCGGCGGCGGAGCGGGCAGCAAGCCGACGCCCCCGGAGCCCGACTACCGCGCCCCCGCGCCCTCCCCGGCAGCGCCCCCCGCGCCGCCCCCAGACATCCTGGCCGCCTACAGGCTGCAGCGGGAGCGCGACTTCGAAGACCCCTACTCCGGGGGGTCGTCCGGCTCCTCAGCCCTCGCCACCCCTGCCGCCCCCGGCCCCACGCCGCCCCCGCGCCACGGCTCGCCCCCCCACCGCCTTATTCGGGTCGAGACCCCTGGGCCCCCGGCGCCCCCTGCCGACGAGCGGATCTCCGGACCCCCGGCCAGTAGCGACAGGGTGAGTGCCGCGCCGGGCGGGGGTGTCCAGGAGGGGAGGTGGTCAGGGGTCTGGAGGTTGCGAGAGGGACAAAGGTGGCCTGGCTTTGGTGTCACGGCTGCAGGCGGACACGAGCCCCTGACCCCAGGGCTGCGAGGCTTCACCCACCTTTGTTCAGAATCTCAACCAATCTGGGACAGGAGCCCCAAACTCTGCCCCTCTCCCGTGTTATGGCCTCAGGACTGATGACCCTCCCTCTCCCAGGTTCCGCTCTCCACTTCTTAGCCCCAGAGCTAGATTCGAGAGCCTTTTTCTAATGGGAATTGTGGCGCCCGCCTCCCCCAGCCCTCCCCCCACCCCACTGGTTTATGGCCTTTCTGCCCTTCAGGGAGCTGCAGCTCACTGCCCTTTGATCTCTGACCCTTCCCCCAGGCCAGAGCCAGCACAAAGCTCTCCCTGCTGCTGCTGCTGCTGCTCTCCTCCTCCCCTCCCTCTTTCTCCTTCTCCTCCTCCTCCTCCTTCTTCTCTGGGAGCCCAAGCATCCTTTCAGGTGTTGAAGCCCCAGAAAGGAGATGAAGGCTGGGGTTTCTCCCTGTGAACACAGCAAGAGCTGGCCTTTGCCCTACCCTGGGGGGCTGGAGCGGGATGGGCTGTTGTTCTCAGGAGGCCAGGACAGGCAGCAGGCAGCTCTTGCTGAGGATGCTGACCTCTAGGGTCCAGGCCCACTCCTCACTCCTTCCCTTGTTCCCCAGGTGTGAGGACAGTCAGTGCTCAGGACCTGTTGCCCTGATGGGGCTAAGCGACAGCCCATTCCACCTCTCCTCTTGGCGTCCTCCTCCCCAGTTCCATTCTGAGGGTGGCTAGAGCCTCTCCTGGGTCCGCAGGCACTGGGATAGGGAGGCAAGCAGGGCATTGACAGTGTACAGGACATCCTCCCTGCTTCAGCATCTCCACCTCCAGTCAGCCTTATCCCTCTCTGGCAGAGTGACAGCTGAAAGCCATGCCTAGGCCCCCATAGCCCTAAATTCTATGATGACAATTCTGTGGGCCACTCTGACTCTCTTGTCCTTCTTCACTCACCCCTGGGAGCTCAGCTCTGGGGCTTACTCCCCTGTCCTCAGCAGAGGAGAACATTTTTATTTGACTGGAGAGCAAAGTTGCTGTCCGAATATGTTGTCTGCAGGATTGAGGCTTTTAGCTGAGAGAGCGTGCCGTTTTGCCTGATTTCCTGGATGAGAGAGATGTGTCAGGGTCAGAGCAGAAGCCTCAGGAATGTGAATTATTTTTCCCTAGTTCCTGCCATGGGGCATGGCTGCCCGTCCTGGGCCAGGATCCTTAGCCTGCAGAGGAAGGTTCAAGGGCACCTCTCCTAGATTGTGCTCTTCTGCTTCCTAACTGTCCCCTGCTATTGTGTGATATGATGGAAGTGGTGGCAGTGAGGCGGAGGGGAGTGCTAGGCCTGGTTCTCACCACTGACCAGTTAGTCTCCTCCTCTCTGACCACTGCCTGTTTGGCACAGGCAATATGAGCCTGAGCTGTCCTTGGCCCTTCTCCTCTCTGCAGTGGCTTGAACTGACCTCAAACGCTGCCCACCAAGCCATGGGCTGCTCCAGGACAAGGACCGTTTCTTCCTCCTGTCTGTGTTTCCCAAGTGCCTGACACAATGCTTGACATAAAGAGGGGTGCATAAATATGTCCTCAGTGGTAACTGTCCACTACCAGGGTGGCCCCTGAGGGTCAGAAACTTGCCTAGCCACAGCTCCCCTTGCACATTTCCCCAGAGACCACCCCCAGGGAAGGGGCTCCACTCACAGAGCCATGCAGCGACTCACAGCCTCTTCTTGCCGAGGGCATCCACGCCTCAGCTTGGGTCAGCTCTGTGATCTGCATGCTGTTCAGACTTGGGGGGCCAAGAGATCTCTGACTCCTTTGTTAGCTACAGGGGCAGGAATGAAATACAGCAGGCTCTCCCAGGAGTCACACAATCTGTGATTTCTTTAATGGGTGTGATGAGGAGGACTCTGGATGCCATGTGAGCTGGCCCAGGGGCAGGGACACCATCTCTGTGGGCCCTGACCTGGGGCCTCCCACAATTCAGACAGAGCAGCTCCCCACCCCAGGTTTGGAGTCGGTCTTCCCCTAGGAAGAGCCCACACAAGGTGCCTATGCCCCTTACTCTAAACCCAAGTGTCTGGGCAGCCCTCAGGTCTACTGAGGGACACATGCCTGCTGAGCTCATAGAGAGATGCTGCCCCTGGATGGTGAGCTGGCCCTGTCCCTGTGGCCCTGCTGAGCTGGTGTTTCTGTACTGTGTGGCTGCTTTCTCCCTGTTCTCTGTTCCTGCTTCTCTCAGCTCTGCAGGGCCCCTTGGTTTGTTGCTTTGAGGTCTCCTCCTGAGCGGGGAGACTGGGAACAGGGATGTGCCTTGGGCTGGCCTAACTTCCCTCCTTTCCTGGAGCCCAGTGGCTGGTGCTGGGGCAGGGTGATCGGAACCCTCTGAGAAGGGCTGTGTTATGAGATTTGATAAAATGGGTGGAGAGAAACCCAGTGAGTATGGGGCAGGAGAGAATGGGGACCTGGACAGGACCCTGAGAGGCCCAGCAAGCTCAGGACCATTAGCCTTCTCCCCATGCAGGGTTCTGGCTGCCAGCCACCTTCAGACCCACTGCTGCAGTTGGCAGGGGTGCAAGGGTGGCCATCTGGGCAGGCCTGGCAGGGCAGGTGTGGGAGCAGCAGGAGTCATGCCCTGCAACGGGCAGGCAGAGGCCTTGCCATCTGGCCGCAGGAAAAGCTCCCTCGTGGTGCTCGACCTTTGTCTGGCCTCCAGGCCACACTCTGGCAGAGGGGCTAGAAAGCTTGGCCTTCCCTTGCTTTGCTCCCTTGTCTCAGACCCTCAACAGGAAAAACCTGGTCTAATTTGGGAAGGGGATGGATATAGGAACACGGCCTGATTGGATGAAGTGCTGAGCTGCCTACAACTGTGTGCAGTGTGTCCTTTACCTCTATCATGCCAAGATGTGTGTGTGTGTGTGTGTGACAGAGAGAGAGAGAGAGAGGTGTGACAGGGACAATAAGATGGGCAGGTACCCTGTGTTGAAACCACAGCTCTTCTTCTTGGCTTGTGGAGGGGTTCCTGGGGTCCATGAACCTCTAGAAACTGTGCGCAGATTTCCCATTTTTCTGGGGAAAGGCTCACAGCTCTCTGATTCTCATAAGGATTCATAGGCCCCCAAATATTAAGAACTTTTCAAAGTAGATGTACCTCTGCTGGGCATGGTGGCGTGCACCTGTAGTCCCGGCTACTTGGGAGGCTGAGGCAGGAGGATCACCTGAGCCCTGGAATGTGAGACTGCAGTGAGCTATGGTCATACCACTGCACTCCAGCTGGGGCAACAGAGCGAGACCCCATCTCTAAAAAAAAAAAAAGTAGATGTACCTCACAGATGATATCCACATGGACTTGGATCCTCCAGGCCCAAATTTGGAAAGGAGTGAACAGATAGGCCATTTGAGGTTGAACAAGACATTTCTGCCCTGAGGTTAAGAGGGTGCGTAGGGGCTGCCAATGTAGGACCATCCCCTAGCCAGTGTTCACTGAGTGTTTGTGTGTCATTAGGTGATATGGCCTAGTCACTGAAAGGGTCCTGGCACTTGGAAGACCTGGTCCTTGCTTTTTTTAGTTTGTGTACTTTCTTTACTTTAATGTTCCTCCTTATGACTTCCACACAGTCTGGGGTGTGATCTGCTTGTCTTGCATCTGTTGTTCCCTGATGGAGATAGAGGGAGGAGGAAAGTCCTGGAGAAGCAGGGGTTCTAGGTGAACGGGCCTTTGTGGGCTGGTTAGACCTCTTAACTCTCTGGCCCAGGCTGGCCATCTCTGCCACCGTTGGCACTTGGAGGATGGCTAAGGCCTATGGCTCCAAGGTGTGGCAGGTCCGTCCACTCTACCCAGTACCATTGCCGCACACTGTGGCACTCACTCTGTCTGGAAGACATCTGTGCTTGTTGGCTTGGCCAGTGAGTGACTCAATGACACCTCAGCCCTGGCACTCTGCCTGTGGGCAGCCAGGAACAGCTGGGACCCTGAGGACCATGGAGGGAGGAGCTGGCTGGGCTGAGCAAGCCCTGGCTGAGGCCCAGGACTGAAGGGGAGCCTGCTGCCCACTCCAGTTGCCCTCACCATGAGCCAGTATGATTATTATGTGAGAGCAAAGGTGGGGCCCAAACCCTACATGCAAAAGACCCATGGTGCCCCCAAAGCCTGGTGCTCTAGCCTTGGGCTTCACAGCACCGCAAGGTGCTCCACTCTCTTGGAACTTATTTTGTGTCTGTCCCTGTGAGCTCCTGGAGGACCCAGAAATAGGGTTTTTTGGGGGGATTTTTTGTCTTTAATAATATAGTAGCTGACATTTACTGATCACCTACCTTGTGCCTGGTACCATTTTTAAGCAGCTGACATGTATTAGAACAGTTGATCCTTACAACAACCTTATGAGGAAGGTTCTGTTACCATCCCCAGGTTATAAATGGGGAAACGGAGGCACAGGAATGTTGAGTCACTCTTGCGCGGTTCCTCAAGCTAGCAAGTAGTGGAGCCGAGGTTCACCAGGCACCTGACTCTAGACTTGCTGCTGGTGTGCATCGTGCCTAGGACCTCAGCACCTACCAGGTGTCTGACAGAGAGGAGGTGTTCACTAAGCATTTGCTAAGGAACAGGAGAAAGGCGACTCTTAGAGAAGGAATGAGGGGCACGTTCTGTGCTGAGTTCACCATTTCCTGAGTGCTGGGGACCGCCATTTGCCACCCAATCCTGAGGGGGCCCCAGACATACCCAAGGGTCTTTTGACGGTTGCTAGGATCAGTTGCATATGTGTGATGTTTGACCGTTTTATAAACAGTTTGCTTTTTATAAAAACATTTATAAACACATAAAACATATAATGTTTTTATAAAAACATTAAAAACCCCAAAAATTATAAAAACGTATAAATTGCTCTTGTAATTAGAAAAGGAAAATAAATATATTTCTTGGGAAGGATTTTCCCAGGCAGGTAAAATAGGAGAAGGGCATCCCGATAAGCAGGAACAGTGGATACAAAAACTTGTTCTTGGGGAAGATAAGCAGTGTACCATTTCCCAAACTGTGACAGGTTAATAGGTTTTCAGTGACAAAGGCCTTCCATGGTTAAATACTTTGGAGAATTAATGAATTAAACAAAATTAGATTTGTTTGCCACAGGACTTTTCAGATTTAAAGTATATTTTAAATCTACAAGTGGAGGAGAGAAGATACCACATTTTCCGAATTTTTGGAAAATCTGATAAGGCACTGAGAGTCAGGAGACCTGGGTCCCATTCTCATCTCTGTTGCTGACAAGCTGTATACCCTGGACAAGCACCGAAACTCTGGGGTCTCAGTACCTGAATGTAAAAGATTATCCTCAGAGCTGACATTTATTGAGCACTGACTCCATGCCAGCCTCTGGGCTAAAAACTTTTACAAATTCATTTTCCTCCTTCTAACCCTATGGAATAGGTACTGTTATCATCCTCATTCTACAGATAAAAAAGGCTGAGGTTTCCAAACATTAGATGTAAACTAAAGAAGCAGAGGAAAGGGGGCGTGGTAGGTGTGGGGACCTTGCAGAGCCAGTATCCTGTAACGTGTACCCCCTTGCTCGTCCTGGACTTGCACCCCTTGGAGCCCACGCTGGGGTGAGTAACGTGTTGCATGGCCCAGCTGCAGAGTGGAACACGAACCAGATGGTGGACCTGCCAGCTACCGCCGGAGAGACTTGGGCAGCAAGGAGATTCAAAGTACGACAGCTGCTCTGGGAGGGGCACTGCCCAATTGGAACAGACACAATCGCAGCATCCTAGAGGCACCCTGCTGGATGTCAGGAGGGAAGGGCACAGAGGACCCTCTGGGTAGCAGCCACTTTACCTACTAGTTTGGAAATATTTCAGCATTTCAACAACATTCTGGCTATATGCCTAAATATCAGCCTTGGTTTTAGGTACTTTCTTCAAAGGCCTTTTGTGGACAATCCTTTGTGCCAGAGGCTTTGATCCCTATTCAAATGTAGAGTCTCCTAAGAGCCTGATCCTGAAGCCACTAGTGGTCAGTCAGAGGTCAGGGTGAATGGGGATCTGAAAGTTGGTGTCACTCCAGAGGTTAGAGTCTGGGGAGGAGGCCTTTGGAGCATCCAGTAAATGTGCATAGAGCGCTTACTGTGTGCTGGGCCCTTGGATGGGTGCAGGATATCGCAGTGAGCACCTCAGAGTGGGGCAAAGGGACCATAAGCAAAATAACAAATCGTGGTAGCCTAGAAAGGCAGCTTCTCCCACTGAGTAGTTTTTCTTCACAGGACCTAGAAGCCACTGGGAAAGCAGGCCTGGGCTCTGTCTGAGATCCTCTGTGCCCAGGGTGGACACCCGTCCTGCCAGACTTCCCAGCTGCTGCTTCTGACTCCCAGTCTTGTGGGTGGCTCATCTGGGCACCCCAGCCCAGGGCGCTGGGCCTGGGCTTCCTGGAATAGGGTGTGGAGCCAGGAATGGAACAGAGGAGCCATTGAGCTGCCCGCAGAGTTGCCACCTGGGCGCCCACGGGCATTGCAGGCTGGGGCTCGGAAGCCCACGCCAGCCTGGGAGGGGTCGCGGCTCCGGGCATGGGTCCAGGACTCTGGTGGGGAAGGGTACTGGTGCAGTCCTGACCAGGCTTGGTGAGGGAGGGCCTGGAGGCGGGTGGGAGGGGCATTGGGGACACCTCTGCTCACCAAGCAGCTTCTGGGGACACAGCTTCATTTGGAAAGACTCAGTCCCCTCACATGACCCCACCCAACCCAGATTCACACTTCCTCTCTCTTCTGAATGAATAGGAAAACGTGCTTCCTTTGTCCATTCTTCCTGTTTTATATGAATGGACTTAACAAATATTTACTGACAGCTTTCAGGAATTTATCAGTAAACATGGTTCCTGCCCTCAGGAAGCTCACAGTCTATAGGAAGACATAGAATAAAACAAATATTTACCGTACAGTGTGATGATAGCCCAGCATAGAGGCCCCTAACAGGCCCGGGGGGAGTGTGGAAAAGCTTTCTAAAGAAATACAGTAATCAGTAAGAGGTAACCAGTTCAGGAGGAACAGGAGAGCCTTTGAGGTAAGAAAGAGCATAGAGCTTTCAGGTAACAAAGTGATCCAAGGTGGGTAGACAGAAACCAAAGAGGAAAGTGGAATCTTTTAGATCTCTGTAACTTCAGACTTTTTCTTAAAGCACTGGAGAGTCATTGTAAGGTTTAAGGATAATGTGTCCATTGATTCAGACACTGTCAAGTAGCTGCCACATATGGCTGTGAGGCTGGGCGCTGACTGTCAGAATCACCAGCAGTGGGCTGGCTCCAGAGCCCCCTTGGTCAAGGGTGGGGCCGTGGGTGCCGGTTGGCTGGGAGGAAGCAGCTTGAATAGGGTAGGGGTGAGTGGATTTCTTTTCTCTGCTTCCTGGAGGAAGAGGACTAGGGGTGAAGGGCTCCCAGGGGTGATAGGGGATGATCTTGTAGAGAAAGACATTTTTCTAGTGCCCACTGTATGCCAGGTGCTTATTGGAGCTGGAGAGACAAAAAATGACGGACAGCTCGAGGCTAGTGGGTGCCTGGTGGTGGTGATGGGATGATCTGAGGTGGTCATCCCACCAGCAGGCAGAGGTGCAAGGGAGCTGAAGGAGCTGAGGCTTGCCTGGGACAAGGGGGACCCTGAGGAACTGAGAGTGAGATGGTAGGAGGCATTGCAACATGCCTCAGGGGCCCCCAGAGTGGCTGGCAGGGCTTGAAGGAACATGCAGAAGGGGTCTCTGAGGTGGGGAGGTTCCTTTCTCCATGTCTGCCTTCCTAGTGGTCCCCATTCCCAGATCCTCTAACTCAGGGCAGGGCGATCCCCCCTCCCCCCTGCCTCCCAGCCTAGCTGACTCCTACAGCCTGGCTCAAACCAAAGCCTGGCCTGAGATTTGGAGAAAGATGAGGGTGGCCTCTCCCCAGCCTAGGCCCCAAAGCCATTCCTGTCATCTCCTGTCAACACAGTCGTGCAGTGCCCCCAGGGTGCTGGCAGTCCTGGGTGGGCTGGGCTCTGTCTCTCCCTCAGCTAGCCTCCCCCCCTCCGCCAGAAGCCCATACCCAGCTTGGAGAAAGGCTCTATTATCCTCAGCTGCGCCCCACCCTGAGCACCTTGGGTGCCTCTGCAGGGTGTGTGGTTTGCAGTTTGCTCTGCATAGGGTGGGAGCGGGGACAGAGGAGTGGCCGTGAGCCACTGTGTGGGAGAAAGGGACAGCATGGGAAGTGGAGGGCCAAGGTGAGGCCTTTCCTGTCCCTGTCCTCCGGCAGCCAGTGGATTTCAGCAGAGCCTCAGGGCTGCCCCCAAAGCCTGACTCCAGCATTCTCTCTCTCAGGACAGCCATGATGCCCTCTGGTGGCAGGTTGGCAGCCTTTTGCACGAAGGGCATGGGTTCCAATCCCGATTCCTCCACGTATGCAGAATGGTCTTGGGCATATTGTTCCCTAACTGCACTGAGCCTCCAATTCCTTAAAATGGGGATAATAATACCCACATGACAGGGCTGTTGTGAGGATCAGTCAGCGGACTGTGAAAAAGTGAGTACTCAGCCTTTCCTTCCTTGATGGTGAGCAACTATTTATTTGTTCAGCATCTGGAAGTGCCCTGGTAGGCACAGACCATGCTAATCTCTGAGTTGCCTCCCTATTCCCTGCTCATTCTTTGAACTCTTCCAACACCTTTGTAACCAGTTCTTTGAATTAATTCCCTCTCTTGAACCACCTGGCGTAGGCTCTTATCCTGCTTGGACCTTGACTGAGGTAGGCGCTAAGACCCAGTAGCCTCATTCTGGCCATTTAGCCTAGGAGATGGCCCAGAGGCACCAAATTAGCAGAAAAGAAAGATATACCACTTGGTTGGTGGCCTAGTAGGAGAACCCTGCAAAGGAGGAGCCAAGGCTTGTCTCCATCCAAGCTCAGAGCCTGCCCTTGCATACCTGGGCTCCAGGTCTAAGGCAGCCTACCCAGGGCTCTTGCTCCCATGGGCACAGCATCTGGAGAGCAGAGCTGCCTCTCAGCTGTCTGAAGCCCACTTTCTTACTCCCACAGTTGGCAATCCTAGAAGACTATGCGGACCCATTTGATGTTCAGGAGTCTGGTGAAGGCTCATCAGGAGCTTCAGGAGTCCCAGAGAAGGTCTCTGAAAATGACGGCTACATGGAGCCCTATGAGGCTCAAAAGATGATGGCTGGTGAGTGAGGGGCAGGGGCTTCTGGGGTCTGCGGAACAGTCCTGGGGACCCATAAGTCTGAGAACTGATTCCTTGGTCCCTAGAAAATATAGAGAAAGTCTTTGCCAGGTCCTTGGGGAGGATGGTCAATGTCTTCCAGATGGCCATTTTGGAGAAGAAGCTGTGACTTATGAGCCCAGTGTGGTACTGGAAGCCGTGTGACCAAAGGTCAGATAGAAGCATTCGAGATAGGAAGGGCAGGATAGTGAGGGCTGTGGGTCAAGGATCCCCAGAAGAGAATCACTTGCTTTGGGGAAGGTGATGAGTTTGAAATGACAGGATGTCAAAGTGAAACATCTCTATGGCAACTGGAAAAGCATGACTAAAAATATAGATGCAGCAGGTGCCATGAGGCTGGGCAAGTAGTTCAAGAGTTAGGTAGGGAGAGATGAATAGACCTGATCCTGGGGAACAGAGGCCAAGAGAAGGTCCAGGGAATAAGCCCAAGTCGTGATCAAAGAGGAGGACAGGGTGGGTCAGTCTAAGCCAAGACCCCAAGGTAGGACCAGAGGAAGTTTGTTCAGGGGGCAAATAATGTTAGTGCTGGGTGTACATGGGAGCTAAGATTAGAGAGACCAAGAGGGGCAGTGAAGTGCTTTGAAGGCCGGAATGAGGTGTTTGGACTTGCTCCAAAAAGGGGTGTGAAGCCATTATGAATTCTTGAGCAATAAACGAATAGTACGAGTATGGCATTTTAAGAGGATTACTGAGGCTCTGGTGTGCAGAATGGACTGGAAGAACTGGGCATCAGAAAGTTAGCAGGCTGTTGTAAAAATTATTGGGGTTTTAAGGGGCCAATAATTAGCCCCTCTTTCTTCCTCTCCCAAGCTTGGAAATAATTGAGAAATAAGATTAAGGAAACAGACTGATGGAGATTAAAATGTCAGCTTTATTACTGATAAGGTTGATTGGAGAACATTACTTAGCTATGTCAAGACAATGGGCTTTTTAATACTTCATCACAGAATTAAACTTGCCCACTCAGGCTTGGGCAATGCAGGACAGCTGCAGGCCGCTGCACAGGGGCAGGCCACTCACTACATGGAGGAGAAAGAGCCAGAATGTTCTCTCTCTGCAAGAAGGCAGATCTGAGAAGGAGAGTGAGCATTCACTGGCCAATCAGATAAGCTGTTCTTCCTCCTGGGGAGAGGTGGCAAAGGAGGCAGAGAGTGGTCAGGGTGTTATCCCAGGAGTATTATTCCATAAAGCCCATGGAAACGTGAGCCTGTGGAATGGGGGTTCACCCCAGCAGTAATCTAGATATGGAGAGATGTGGGGAAAGTCATCAGGTCTTGGCAGTGAATAGATGGGATTTGCAGAATGAAGGAGGGCCAGGTTCAAGGAGAAAGTGTAGTAGACAGAAATGGAGAAAGTGAGAGGCTGACTACTGTTTTTAGGTCAGAGGGGTGTGTATTCTCAGGAGTTCCATGAGTGCCCTGGAATTGTATGTGAAAGTTTAAGTGCACATTTTCCTGGAGAGCAGCACTATAGCTTTTAGCCGATTTTCATTGGAGTCAATGATGCCAAAGAGAAGATCACTAGCTTTGGAGAAGGTGGTTAGTTTGAAACAACGGGCTGTCAAAGTGAAAGATCTTTATAGCAATGGAAACGCATGACTGGAAATAAAGATGTAATGGGTACCATGAGGCCGGGAAAGTAGTTCAAAGAGTTAGGGTAGGGAGAGATGAATAAGACCTGGCCTTGGGCAACAGAGGCCAAGAGAGGATCCAGGAAAAGAGACCAAATCAGGGATCAGAGAGGCCAGTCCGTGAAAATGACTGTCAAAATGGCAAGTTTCAAAAGGGGGTGGTCAGCAGTGTGTGAGTGGCAAAGAAGAATTTTATGATGGTGAAATGATATCACTTGAGACACAGGGAAATAAATAGAGTTTGGCAACAAGGAGATGGACAGGGGAAGACCCTGCCTCCGCTTCCTAAACACATAAACTTCGGTTACCCATACCTTGCTTGCCATTGTGGGATCCTCTTCCTGTCTTTCACTCCCCTGCCTCCATTGGCTCCCGTGCTTTTGGAGACCTAGAAGTGTTTGGAGGGTGAGGACCTAGGATGTGTGGCTCTGAGTTCCCTGCAGAGCCAGGGCATCTCCTCTGAAGGGAGCCCAGCTTATTGCTGAGTGTTGCTGGAGGAGAGGAGCCAGACAGCCGGCGCTCACACCCCTCCCCTCCCTCTTGCCCTGTCAGAGATCCGGGGCTCCAAAGAGACAGCAGCCCAGCCCTTGCCTCTGTACGACACACCCTATGAGCCAGAGGAGGAGGGGGCCACCCCAGAGGGTGAGGGGGCCCCCTGGCCCCGGGAGTCCCGCCTGCCAGAAGATGATGAGAGGCCCCCTGAGGAGTATGACCAGCCCTGGGAGTGGAAGAAGGAGCGCATTTCCAAAGCCTTTGCAGGTGAGTCCTGGTGGAGAGGGCAGGTCCACTGGGGCCTCTGAGCAGCCTTCCAGGCTCAGGAGAAGGGAAGGAGTGGACCCCAGGAACCCAAGGAGGCCCAGGAGCGAAGTGTAGTTGAGTTCTGTAGCACTGAGAGTGGGGAGGTGGGCAGTGTGGACACAGCGCTGTGTGCAGAGTCAGGGAATGGGCACAGGAGAAGGACGAAGGCGTTTCTCTGCATCAACCACCTCTCGGAGGCCAAGAGGCTTGGGCTACTTCCATCTTTTGGAGGGCTGGGTATGTTTAAAAATAAAGAATTCCAAAACAAAATTATAAAACTTGTGGCATATGTTAAACACTTACATTTAACACTTGAAACAATGAAAACAGCTGTATGTGTAACCTGAATTCTCGGGCTGTGTGTCTCCCAGTGGTGGACCCTGCCAGACCAGGGGTGTCTTGCCCCAAGGGGATTTCTGAGGAGCAGAGAGAGGCTGTGAGAAATCCCCTGATTGCTGAATGAGGATCAGGTTTCTCCTGTTCCAACCACACCACTGTCCATCCCAAGCCCAAGTCCACCATGGAAAAGTACATGTTGGTGGTCTGAGGTGGGTGGAGCAAGAGCCTGCAGTGGGGAGGGGGCTTTCCCTCCTGGATCCTGGATTTAGTGAGAACTTAAAGGGCCTAAACGCCATTAGACTTCATGCCTACTCCCAGGGGCCCCTCACCCCTCCTTGGGCAAGGGGCATATCCTGCAGCTGGAGCCAATCCTCCCCACCCTGGCGGCTGCCAAACTGGGAAGCCGTGGGTTTCTAGTTCGCTTCCTGTAAAGCACACACCGCTGAGGATGGGCCGTTTATCTCCAGAAGTCTCCTTGGAGAATCGATACTGTTTGGATTGCTTAATGGGAAAATCTATGCTCATCATTAGGAAACCTTGTTAGCAGTCCTGCAGCCACTGGTGGCATCGCTCTTCTCAGGATGGGGGGCAGCTAAATTTCAATAAAACATCTGCCCCCAAGTCTGCATATTCCTGACAACCTGAGGCTAGGCTGTCCCACTCATGCTACCTGCCAGTTCCCAAGCTGTGGGGACAAGTAGAAAGGGGGGAGGTAAGGCTGGGGGTGCCAGGAAGCTGTGGGAACCTGGGTGTGGTATGGGGAGGCGTGGGAAGTTCCTAGTCCCGCTTTTCCTCCGTTCCTGGGTGGCTTTGGGCCCTGGAGGCTTGTGAGAGGTCACATAAAGGGGAGCCACAGGGCTGGCAGAGCAAGACCCTGCATTCTGCTGCTTGCCACCTGAGCCCCCCACCCTTTGACCAGGCCAGCCTGGTGTGGTCCGTGTTGGCTCTGCCCAGTCCTCTGAGAGTCTTGCTCCCTCCCCTGCCTGTGCCCTCTCCTTTCTAGGCTTTCCTGTGTCCTAGCTCTGGGTTTTGGTGTCTCAACCTTTGCCTCTTTCTGTCTCTGTCTCTGTCATTGTCTGTCTCTCTCCTTCTGCTACTGGCTCCAGTTGACATTAAGGTCATCAAAGACCTACCTTGGCCTCCGCCCGTGGGACAGCTGGACAGCAGCCCCTCCCTGCCTGATGGGGACAGGGACATCTCCGGTCCAGCCTCACCCCTCCCTGAGCCCAGCCTGGAGGACAGCAGCGGTGGGTCCTGTGGGGGCTTCTGGCCAGGGTGACATGTCCTCTCACCCCCAGGCCCTGTCGGCTTGGGTTGGAGGAGTTAAGAGATGGGGCAGGGTTTGGAGACCCCAAGAAGAATTCCTCTCATCCTGGAGGAAGAAGGAAGAAACAAAATGCATATTCCTCCCTTCCCCAAAACTGTGGGGATGGTGTCTGCTAAGAGAGGCCCCTTCCTAATACATTTCTCAGCACACCACAAAGATCCACTATCTTATTTTTATTTTTTTTCTGTTTCAAAAGTAGGCGAAGGAAAGGTCCACTATTTTAAATTGACTTCTTTGGGAAAAGCTTTGCCTGGCTGGATCCTTCAGCAAGGAGAATACTGTTGTAGAGGGTGGAACTAGTGCAGGAAGTGCTAACTCGGGGTAAAGGAGCAGATCTGATCTTGCATCTGGTGACTGAAAAACAACAAGGGCTTGAAAGTGCTATGAGGAGAAAAAAGCCCAAATGGGGAGGAAGAAAGCACTGAATTCTTTCTCTACGTTCAGTTTTGCCCAGAATGGGCACCCAAGGGTGTGGGTGCACAGGTGTGAGCACCTGTTTGTACATCTGTGCCTGAGTGTTGTGGGTATTTTGTAAATACAGGAGGAAGGAGGGTGTCTGTCACCTGTGCATGCGTGCCTGTGGCCATGTGACCCACTGAGGCGCAGTCCTCCTGTGTGTAGGCTCAGCTGTCAGGCTGCCCTGGCCTCCGCTGGGCTTCTGGGGGTGGGAGAGGGGAGCCAGTGGGCAGCAACCTTGGATGCAGGGGGAGGGGAGGGCTGGCTGGCTGGCGGCTGGCTTTGGGCAGGATTAGCCTGTCAGGATGGCACCAAGGGGAATCAGATAATTGTTCTCAGATCGATAAGTCATTTCTACAGAATGGCTTGGCAGGGTGATTTGGAGAACAGTAATGAACTCTGAGGAGGAGAAAGAAACAATATTATCAGCACTGAAGCCACCCTGAGGGGGATGGAACAGAGGAAGGCAGTCAGCTGCTCTAGAGGGAGAAGCTTAAGTGGTTTCTCATGTTGTTCCTCTCTCCTCTCCTCCCCCAGGGTGGGGACTGGAGGCCTGTGTGGCACAGAAGGCTGAGCCCCACCCCCACCAGGGAATGGACCCAGGGTTATATCCCCAGAGCCAGTCAGGCCCATGAGCATGGGCTGCCCCCCCAGAACATTCCTTTCACCCTTTTGGGGGCTGGAGGAGATACGGGTGGGGCACCAGCTGTTCAATAGAGCCGTACCTCTAGGGTCCTCAGAGTCCATGATTGGTATGTTCCCCACAGCCCAGTTTGAAGGATCCGAGAAGAGCTGCCTGTCACCTGGCCGGGAGGAGAAGGAGCGGCTACCTCCCAGACTCTCTGCAGGGAACCCTAAGTCAGCCAAGCCCCTAAGCATGGAGCCCAGCAGCCCTCTGGGGGAGTGGACAGATCCAGCACTGCCTCTGGAAAACCAGGTGTGAGTGTCTGTGTCCACCTGGGAACTCCCTCCCCTCTCCTCCCCTCTCAGCACTGCTTCCCTGCAAGGCACAGCCAGAATGGGTGGGCCTAGACAGTGAGGGACCCAGCAGAGATGCCCCCCTTCCTCTCTCTCATCCTCAGCTGGTATCATGGGGCCATCAGCCGAACAGACGCCGAGAACCTGCTTCGGCTGTGCAAAGAGGCCAGCTACCTGGTGCGCAACAGCGAGACCAGCAAGAATGACTTCTCCCTCTCTCTCAAGTGAGTGCAGAGGGCTGCGGGTGGGGGCACAACCAGCAGGACAGGAGTGCCCTCCATATTCCCCTCATGCCAGCCCAGCCGGGAGGTCCCCTTCCCCCGTGAACACTCTCCAGGCACTAGATCCTGAGATATGTGAGACTCAGCCCCTGCTCTCAAGGAGCTCAGAGTCCACTGGGGGAAATAAGAGTTGAGCTAGGGCATCCAGCTCAGAAGGGTTCTGTTCGACTAGCTGTGTGGTCTGGGGCCCTCCTAACGTCTCTAGGCCTCAGTTTCTTTACTAATAAAATGGGGGAATGACACAAGGAAGGATTAAATAAAATAATGTACGGGAAGCACTTAGCATGGTGCTAAGTGCTCAATAAATTATCACAATCATTAAGAATGGAAGTCCAAGATGTTCTAGGAGCACAAGCAAGGAGATAGGAGCTTTGCCTGAGGGAGTCTATTGGGTGAAATGCTGGGCTGGGTCCTGGGAGAGGGCAGGGCAGTGGACACAAGCTATTCCTGTTTATTCTGGGAAGTGTGTGTGTGTGTGTGTGTGTGTGTGTGCAGGGGTGGTCTGAGCTCTGAAGGGCCCTGGAAGAGGTGGGGGAGGCAGGGCCTTCTCTTCCCATCAGCCTTCCTGGCTCCCCTCCCGTTGGCAACCAGGAGTTCTGCCTGGCAGAGCCTGCACCCCACGTAGGCAGCCAGTTGGGGTGGTGTGTCCATTTACCCACCCCCCTCACTACTGAGGCATCTGTACCACGGCACACCACATTCTCTAGGGGCATTCAAGTACAAGTATACCCCTCACTTCAAACAAATCCAATCTATGGAAATATAGGTTACTAAACCAGTTACATTTGGGGGATAATTATTCACCTTCACTAAAAGATTATAGAAAAAGCACCAGACTGCACTTAGGTAACCTGTTCTATTTTGGGGTTTGATAAAACTAGGCAAACCACTTAATCTCTCTGGGCCTCGGTTCTTCCCTTTGCAAAGTGAATTGATAGATATCACTTAGATTTTTTCCAGCTGTCACAGTCTAGGAGTCCGCAAATTGAAAATCAAAAGAGCATTTCAGAAAAATTCATTCGTCAAAAAATTTATATAACTTCAGGAATGTGTATTGCTTTAAAAATTGCAGTTAAAATTCATGGAGTATACCAAGCAGTACATATACCATCTCCAAACCAACTACCATTCTGCATGATAGATCTCTTTTTTATAAACAGAAAATAGATTGAAAGAGGTTTGTTACTTGATCAAGGCCACCAGCTAATAAAGTCCCAGAGTCAGGATTTGAACCCGGCTCAGGCTGTCTCCACAAACCGACTCCACAAACGGGGCTGTTCCATTGCAGGGCTCCACCCCTCAGGAAGTGCCATAGCGTTTGCTAGTGACCAAGGCCAGGGGAGATGCTAGGGGTCTGGCTCGGAGAGTGGAGCCCAGTGGGGAGGCAGGCCTGATGTCTGTTCCAGCCCTGGTTGATGTAGCCCACCAGCTCCAGTCTGCCAGAGCCTCGTTTGCATATAAATGCTTTCTCTGAAATACAATTATGGTTTCTCTTTTCTCCCTAATGGAAGGGCTTTCACTGGTAATTAAACAACTTCCTCAAAAAGCCTTGCTGGCCTGGCCCTGCAGTCCCGCTGGTCCTCAGAGGGTCTGAGGCTCTAGCAAGGGCTTTGCTGTGTCCTGATGGGCCCTTGGGACTTTGTCCCAGGAGGTCGGAAAGCACAGCCATCCTCCTCCCCTCGAGGTTGGTTATACAGATGGAGACTGGCTTCTCTGGCCACTTGTTGCGCTTCTTGGCCAGATCCATCCCCTGAGAAGATATAGCATACAGCTTTCAGGAGAGGCGATCCCCCAAGTAGACTATGAGGAGGGGGTCATCCCCAAACTGGCAAAAGGTGAGGTAAGGCAGGGTCCACGCTGCCACCCACAGCCTTGGGCCTAGGTTCACTCCCTCCCCTCTGCACTGCCCACAGGGGCTGTACCTTTGCCTGGGGCCCTTGGCTCCACACCGCCCCCCCTTCGAGGTCACTGTCAGCCCGTTATCTCAGACCTACAGACAGCCCCACACCCTGGCACACCCAGCCATGGGGTCTCCAGGCCTTTTCCCAGAAGGCGGCTGGGTTCCTGACTAAGGCTTCAGGACACCATGCCCTGAGGAGAGGCAGAGGGCTGGAGTTAGGGGCCTGTCTTTTCCTCCCATCCCTCTCCTCCCGTCAGCCTCCCCACTTTCTGCTTTCTCACTTGTGGGCCTTGTGACATGGGTCCAGGCAGAGCCTTCTGTGTACCCAGGCAGGGGGGACAAATGATGAGGTTTGCCAGCCTCACTTCCCAGGGGTGGGGGCCTCAGGATGGAGGCAGCACCACACCATCCTCTGAGTCCTGTCCTTGTCCCCAAGTGGGCTCTCGCCAGCAGCAGACTCAGGCTTCAGGGACCCACCAAACATTCCTTACCTCTTGTGTATGGGTAAGTCCCAGACCTGGGCCTGGCACACTAAGCCTGTGGTAGTTTGGACAAACGTTCTTGCCCGGGGCCGCACCCCAGTGCCCCCTCTCTAAGGCTGAGGGTGCCTGGACATTTAAGAGCTGGCCAGAGCTCTGAGCAGTGGGGTCCTTGTCTTGAGGGCAGGGCCAGGCACTAATGCTGACATCCTGGGTGTGGCAGGGAGTTGCAAGAGGCCGTGGAGCATGAGCAAGTCCTCTCTCAGGAAGGGAATGATGTCATTCCAGGCGGAAGGGCTGGGTAGATGAGCTGGGGGCTTGGCCCCAGGCCCAGATAGCAAGAGGGTGAAAGGATGTCATCAGGAGGAGGTAGCTGAGCATTCCCAGATTTTGGGGGGACTTCCAGATTAGCTTGTCTCTTCCCCTAGTCTTTGTGAAGGAAGAGCCCTAACCAAGACTAGCTTGGTTGTTACATCTGTCCCCCACACCTCCTTCCTGCCAAGGGCATCTGTGGCTCCACGTGAGTCACCAGCAGCCCCTCACAGGTCTCCTACCCCACAGCTAGGAAGGGTGAGGTCAAACTGGCCCTGGCCACATAGGCTGGAGGGCAGGGGTGCCTGGATCCCAGGGTTGGGGCCTGCCGGTTGCTCCATTTTCCACCTGCACACACCCTGTACACTCACTGTACACACATTTTTGGCACGCCCAGTGCCCTCACCACAAAACCAATGCCTGATACTACCTACTCATACCATGGCCGCCGCCACCACCCTGCATTCTGGACTGACCTCCACCTCCCCTATTCACCACCTGTTCTCAGCTGGCTTGGAACTATCACACTTGCTGTGGGGGTGGGGAGGGTTACTGGATGAGTGAGCTGGGGACTGAGGAGAGCCCCCACTCACCAGGGTTTCCTCTCCTCTTCCCAGGAGCAGTCAGGGCTTCATGCACATGAAGCTGTCCCGGACCAAGGAACACAAATACGTGCTGGGCCAGAACAGCCCGCCCTTCAGCAGTGTCCCAGAAATTGTGCACCACTATGCCAGCCGCAAGCTGCCCATTAAGGGGGCTGAACACATGTCCCTGCTCTACCCCGTGGCCATCCGGACTCTTTAGATGTGAAGCCAGGGCACTGTGATAGACCTGGACCCAGCCCTGTGCCGGTCACCTAGCTGAGGGCTGTGGTTCTTCGCAGGGACAAACCTTTCTTGCCCTTTCTCTCAAACCTTTCTTCCCCTTTCCCAGGGATCGAATAGAAGCTGGAGATTCCTTAATTTATTCTAAAGGGGAAGGGCTTCTGGGGCCTTGGAGTTACCCTGGAGAGAAAGGAGAGCCCCTGGGGAGTTTAAGATTGGCAGCTCCATCCTCTTTCCAACCCCAAGGCGGAGGCAACGACCTCCTTGACCACCCTCTCCCTGCTGGGTCGGTGAGGTGTGGGGCAGGACGCGGCCCTGCGGGGCGCCCTGACCTTCTCTCTGCCTCCATCCCCGCCCTCCACCCCCAAACCACCGGAGGGCTCCGCCCAGAGTCTGGCAGACCCCTGGGATGGAGACGGCCCTGGCGGGTGGAGAGAGCAGGGGAAGAAGGGTTCGGGCCGAGGGAACTGTGCAGTCCCCAGGCCGCCCGGCTCCGGGCCAGAGGCAATAAATAAACCCAATCCTGCCGGGCACTGCAGCGTCCGCGCCTCGGGCGCCGCCCCCAGACTGACGGGGGAGGGAGCGGCGAAGCGAGCACAGATTCTGTTTATAAATCAGCTCCGGAGCAGACACAGGCCGCCTGTGAAAAGCACTTTCGAAGCATCAAGTTCCTTTCTTTGATGAGCTGTCTAAACATCCCCCGCCGCTCCCGCCCGGGCTGGGGGCACCCGAAGCCCGCCGGCCGCTGCGGCCCCCCTCCCCGCCGCCGCCGAGCGCAGCTCCCCAAGAACGCGTCCAATTTCCTGCCAACAGCCATTTGTCTGGGAGGAGGGGAGACGCGGAGAGACAAAGAGGCAGCGCGCCAGGCGGGAGGGAGCGGCGCGGCGGTGCCACGCGGAAACCGCGCGCCCGGGAGGGCGGGAAGGCTGGCGAGGCGGACTGCGGGGCTCCTCGCTTGTTTCCTCAGCGGAGGAAGCCGGGCCGGTAGCGCCCCGCTCGGGCCCTGACGAAAGGATCCGTACCCTGGGGATCGGCGGCCGGGGCTGGCCGTGCGCGCCCCCTGGGGGCCGCGCCTCTAACCACAGGCCGGGCGCACGGGGCCACTCCCGCCTGCGGCCCCAGGCAACGCCCCTGCCGGCGCCCACAGCTGGAACCCGCCGTGCCTGTGGGCTCTGCCCCGGAAAACCCACTGGGCCGCCCCGGCTCGCCCTCCTGCTCTCACGGGCCACCTGATCTGAACACCCTCGGGGGACGGCTGCCCCGGAGTGCAGTCTGAGGGCCTTTTCCAGGACCTAAAGGTGCAACTCCCAAGTGTGTGAATCACAGGACTTGGGAGTTTCTAATCCAGCGGCTATTTTCTCGAAATTGAGGGTATGTGATCTGACAAATGTAGGCATTCTGTAGGGACAATAGAAAGGCTCACTTGAAATAGGGCGCTCGTTCAGAAATTCCCTCCTAGAGGGTTGCCCTATGTTTAAGTAGACTTGGGGAGCATTCCAGCCGTTTTGCAGATGAGAAAACAGGCTTAAAGAGGTTAGGTGATGTACTTATCTGTCTCCTCGCTGCCTGGAAGATCCATGTAGGCGCAAGTGCCCACCTGTCCCATTGTTCAGAGAATGGCTGGGAGTCAGCGGTCCTGGAGCGAGCCAGCCAGCTCTGGCTCCCTATAAGCTCCGGCTGTGCCCCACCCTCTCCCCTCCTCTCTTCACCGAGCCCACCTCCTCCAGAACGCCCCACACCCTCTCTCTGCCCCTCCAGATCTGGCTTCGGAGGCCCTCTGTCAGGAAGGGCACCCCTGGGCCAGAGAAGGTGTCTCCAGCTGGGGCACCTGGCCTTGGGCTGGTTCCTTTACTCAGTGCATACTGGCAAGCTCAGAGAGGCGTCTGGACCAGCTTGGTGAGCCAGCTGGGTGAGTGGTTTTCTCTACTGGTTCCCCACCCTGTCCTGGGGCAGAATAAAGAAACCCTGAAGGCAGAAAAGTGATTTATTTGTAAAGGAGACTACTGGAGCAGAGGTTTGAGGAGCACTGCATAGATAGGTCCCAGGCCAGGGTATGACTTCAGTACACGTCTAAAAACTTGGGAGAGGAGATCAATTGTGCTGTTAGACTGGGGTGCTGAGGGGGGATCTGTAAATTGCTTGCCGTAGGTCCAGCCTCTACCTCCTCAAGGCATTTTCCAGCCCTTCTGAAAGTGGGGAGGGGGTTTGGGGATAGAGAGGGTTCTAAGATGCCAGCATCTGTGTTCCCACTTCATCCCTAGGCTCACAGCCCCTTACACAAACACACATATATACACACATACACACACGAGCTCGTCCGCTCTACTTGGCAGCTTGTCTTATGAGGTTTCTCTTTTTAGCCTGGAAGAAGAGGCTGCACTTTGCCCCAAACCAATAGCTTCCTCACTTCCCAACCTCTAGTCCCTAGACAGTGCCCCCCACTTCTCCGGGCCGAGATACATTCTGGATCTGGGGGTCCCTGAGCCCACACATGGTGACTAAACATGGCCACCAGGACCAAGTTTGGGAGGTGAGAAGGGGCAGAAGCCTGATGCAGCCAGAAACAGGAAGTACAGAGGTGAGGTATGGGCCCAAACCTTTGCTCAGTGGGACAGTGGGCAAAGCCCCTGGGCAGGGGGCCTAGAAGTTCTCATAATGATGGGAGAAATGAGTCCGGTCCTGCTTGTTGATGACCTGACAGGCCTTTTCCACATTCTTGGTCATGCCAGGGGGGCCACAGCTAAACACCCCAATCTTCCGGACCTGTTGCAGGAGGAAGACATGAAAGCTAGCTTGTTGTTCAGAGGCAGAGCTAGCTCAGTGTTTATGTTAAAGACCAGCAAGAGCCCCTTGGTGAGGGCTCATTCAGTGCTCCTGAGGAAGGTTGCTTTGTGCCATGCTTGGTGAGGGCTGGTTCAGTGTTTATAAGTCTAGCTCAGTTTGGTAAAGTGCTAGATCAGCATCTTCTACTAGAGGCTGGGTTAATCAATGTTCAAGCTGAGGGATAGCTCAGTGTCTCATTGAGGGCTAGCCCAGTCTTTATGAGAGTAGTGGCTAGCCAAGTGTTCTGGTGAAGGTTAGCTCAGTGTCTAGGGGAAGCCTGGCTCAGTATTAATGCTGAGGGTAGCCCTCAGTTTATGGCGAGGACTAGCTCAATTATTGAGCTCTTCCTTCTGGACAATGCATCATGGCTCCAGAGGTGGCAAGTGCCTATTGTCTGCCTCCTCCCTTAGCACCTCTGGGTGACCCCAACCCATCCTCCATTCCATCACATCACCAATCTCCCAGAGGACGGGTTCTCATCAGCAGCCAATTCCTTCCCTGATGGAGCAGGTTTGGGAGATTTGCTCAGACCCCAGGTGATAAAGGTGAACAGAACCTTCATTAGGGTGGGACTGACCTGTGGGTGGACCTCCTGCAGGGAGTTGAAGAAGGCCTCAAAAGGGGGGCGGCCAAAGTGGGTGATGGAGCGCAGGCCAGTGAACAGACTCCGGTTCAGCACCTTCTGGAAGTGGCGCTCGCAGATGTACTAGGGAAAGGGGGTGGAAGATAGTCCGGCCAGGTACAGCCAGGGTCAACTCCTAGTGCAGACGGTGGCCCCCTGCCCTGCCTGGCCAGCCCTGACATACCAGCATGGTGGTCCTGAGGTCAAACTTCTCAGCCAGCTGGGTGATGTAGATGTGCACAGACACCAGGTCCTGGCGGTCATTCTCCTCCACCTCCCGGATGATGTCAGCCAGCCACTCAAACTGCCGCTGGGTCCGCGTCACCCAGATGAAGTAGATCTGGGGACACACAGCTGGAGCTCGAGACTCATTCAACTCAGTCTTCCTAGGTCCCAGGGGTCCCCAAACCAACAGAACTCTTCTGATCTCAGCCAGCTCATGGCCCTCCCCAGAGAGCCCAGGAGGATCTAGTGTTTGGGCCACAGGGCCAGGCTCTGAGGCCAGAGATGGAGTTGCCCAGGCACTGAGAGGTCAAAGTGACAGCCCAGGGCTATGCGAAAGGAAGGAGCTGAGGGACTCTTGGGTGGGAAGCAGCTTTCCCTTGCTGAGCCTGTCCTACCACTCCAGTGGGCCCTGCTCAGGCTGTGAGGATCTAGGGGCTGAGGGGCATTTCACAGAGCAGCCTCAGGGAAGACCCAGCCAGCTGCCTGGGGCAGATGGGAATTGGGGGAACCCTCTTCAACTTCTGATGGGGAGAAGCAGGGCTGTGTGGGTTAAGAAGCAGAGGCAGAGCTGGTGTGGGCAGAGGAGAGGAAGGGAGCTGTCACCCTCTGAGTGCTGACACCATATGGGCTGGGCCTCTGCCTGCTGCATTCCCGCACCCCTGACTCACCTACCAGGCCCAGGGAGACGAGCAGGGGCCTGCCACCAGGTCCAGGCTGGGGTGAAGGGACCAAGCGTGGAGGGGCCTGCAGGCTTGGGCTGTGTTCCTGGGGCCAACCCAGCCCACCAGTCCTGCCTTGTCACCTCCCCTCCTCTTCCACTCGGAAGGTGAGCCAGCTTCACCTGCGCCCCACCCCAAGCGTGCCGTTCCCTCTCCCAGCCCAATATGCTCCAAGTGCTGGCCTGCTCTGTAAGAGGGAATGGGTTTCTTCATCCCCCTGCAACCCTGCTTGCAGGGACTCCCAGAAGCAAATTCTACATGGAGCACCCCATAACTGAGGGAAGTGTCTTCGTAAAGCATCAGCAAACCAATTCTGTCCTTCAGGATCTGGGGATATCCTGACACTTCCCCACCTGCCAGCCACCTAGGTTTCGGGCCAAGTTGCCCTTGCCCAGATCCAGGAGGCCAGGAACAGAGGCAGGAGAGAGGGGCATGGATGGCACCGTGATTGGGAGGAAGGGGCCATGGGCTGGGGGAAGGGAGGTACTCACCTTCTTACAGAACACGTGGCAGCTGACTGATGACTTGAAGACCAGGTCTTTGAGGATGGAGGCAAAGGGGGTGACCCCAATGCCCCCTCCCACCAGCACTGACACTTCAAACTTATGCCACTCCTGGTGGCCCTCTCCAAATGGTCCGTCGAGGTATAGCTGTAGGGAGGGCAGTGGGTTTGAGTTAAGCTTGGCCACCACCATAGTTCTGAAGCTAGAAATGAGAGGCAGGGAAAGGCAGGTAGGTTTATGGAGTGAGGAGGAAAGGAGGGCTGTGGCATTATCTGGAACAACCAGTCTCCAGATGGGGGGAGGGGAGGAACACCGTGGGGAGGCTGGTGCTGCAGGGCCAAAGCCTGCTAAAGGGCTGTGGGAGCAGGTGGCACATCTGGCCTGGGTCTGGGCACCTTTGGGTATCTGGCACATCTGTCATCCGTTGAGGGTGAGTAGATCTCCCTGAGGCGAGTGGTCCAGGGCCCTGCCGCCCGGATGTGCAGGCTGAGCGTGTCCTCATGGGGAGCAGAGGTCAGCGTGAAAGGGTGGTACTCTGTGGTCCCCAGAGCCAGACAGGCGATCCGCACCCACTGCCCTGACTTGTACTCAAAGCCCTGGGGCCGCTGGAACCGCAGGTAAGTCACTCCTGGGGAGGGATGGTGGGTGGGAAGCTGCTGCTCTGAACCCAACAACAATGTGGGTTGTTCCCACAACTCTCCAGACAGTTCCGCCACCCACAGCCTCAGCTCTGCTTCTGGAATATGACAAGGGA